TGTGTGTGTGTGTGTGTGTGTGTGTGTGTGTGTGTGTGTGTGTGTGTGTGTGTGTGTGTGTGTGTGTGTTGATATGCAGCTGCAGGTCTGAATGTTTACATCTTGATGCAAAGTGTTACAAACTTTTAATCCACCACTACATTAAAGTAAAAACAAAAACTACACACGTTAGTATTTTACAGTTATTTAAAAAAGTAAACCTTCATCTATAGGCATTTTAAAATATATTCCATCAAAAATATTGTGACAAATTTCACCAGTAGAAAAGAAAAGTTATAGAAAGGAGCAAAGCTCTGAAGCAAAGTGTGGAGAGTAGAAAGACGTCCTGCTCCGTTCGGATCCAGCAGGTTCTGTTCCTGCCTCCTCACTCAGTGTTAAAACCATCAAATAACTGAAGAACTTAGGAACTAAAGTCAGCTGAAGGTGTGCAAGTCCGATTATTCTCTGTGACGTGGACACGGTGGTCCTGTGAGCTGCAGACACCTTTGGCAAATTGAAGTGTTTGGGTTTCAGTCCTGCTGCGAGCTCCAAGCCGGACCTGCAGCAGCTTCATGGTTCTACAGCACAGAGGGCAGAACCACGGATCCTTCTCCTCATCAAATCACAAACGACGATTTATGTCGGAAATCCCCCTGCAGGACAGAACAGAGGAGACAGATTTGACCTCCTGGTCTTCACAACCCCAAAATCTGACTGTTCTGTCTAAAATGTATCAAAAGATCAGCAGGAAGAGGAAGTGCAGCTATTTCATCTATTTCAATTACTTCTGGTAGTAAACAAGTAATATAATTTAAACTAAAAACTAGTTAATAACTGTTTACTTCAACACAATGTGGCAGATATTTGTAAAGTTTCTCCAAGTATAACAAAAGACAAACACTTAAAGGTTTTAACTTTCTGATTAAGTTTGACAACTCAGAATAAAACAATGAGGTGAAACAAAGCTCAGAGGAACAACATAATGTTTTCCATCACATCATGTTTTTCTTTAATAAAACTGAGCTGTGATGCAGAAATCCCTTCATTCTGCTGGGGGTCTTCAATGCTCACATGGGTAATAGTGTGACTGGGAGAGGCAGGTTCCAACATATGGGTGTCCATAAGTAACACCAGGACACCCTAAGTCATAGGTCGATGATTAACTGTGTAGTAGTGTCATCTGATCTGTGGCCGTATGTTTGGACACTCAGGTTTATTTTACATCTCATTGCAACAAAACTATCTTCAGCTAAGTTGTTTAGCTTACRTTATTACMAAAAAAAAAACCCTGCCGTGAATTTAAAAGAAACCTCTGCCGTCTTTGTTTTTCTGTTTAATTTGCTGACGGCGCATACTCGGATGCAGCCAATGTTTTCAGGGTTTTGTTGGTTACATGAGTAGGCACAGATGAATTGGGACAGCCTACAGCACSGGGCGGTGACGTAAACAGCTAACAAATGCGGCCGACATCGGCTGCAACCCATGAATTGAGACACAGTCATAGAGTCTGGGTGGGCTGTGTTCCGTAGGGTTGGACGAGATCCKCCCTGATTTCCTCAAGGCTCTGGATGTTGGTTGGTGTCTTGGTTGACACGCCTTTGCAACATTGCATGGACATCAGGGGCAGTGTCACTGGACTGTCAGACCTGGGTGGTGGTTCCCCCCTTCAAAAAGGATTTATGAAGGGTGTGTTCCAATTATAGGGGTGTCACTCTCCTTTAGAGCTGGTTGGGTACTGATCTACCTGGGTTAATGATTCGAGACATCACACTAAATCAGGCTCCACAAATCCAAGGTCTAATTAACAGTTCAGAGCTTCCCGGAAGTGTCTTGGACTCAGTAGCTTGGCTTAGCTGCAGAAATGCTCCAGATACTGACGAGAGTTGAGTCACTTCACTGGGGTAATATCAGAAACTGCAAAGGAGTCAAATGTAAACTTGCGTTATATAAATAACACATCTGAAGTTTTTGTTCCATCATCTGAAAGGTGTTTATTAGTGTATGTCCGTTGGTTTTCTTCCGCTTATCTGGGGTCGGGTCACGGGGGCAGCAGCCTAAGCAGAGAGACCCAGACTTCCCTCTCCTCAGCCACTTGGGCCAGCTCATCCAGGGGAATCCCAAGGCGTTCYCAGACCAGCCGAGAAACATAGTCCCTCCAGCGGGTCTTCCTCTGGGTCTCCTCCCAGTGGGACATGCCCAGAACACCTCACCAGGGAGGAGTCTAGGAGGCATCCTAACCAGATGCCCAAGTCACCTCAACTGGCTCCTCTCACCGGAGAGGTGACATTCCACGTCCCTACAGCCAGCTTCTGTAGCCAAGGTTCAGACTGCCAAGGTCCTCGCCTTAGACCACTGCCCGACACACAATGCACCTGACCCCTATGGTCCCTCCCACAGGTGGTGAGCCCATTGGAAGGGAGACCCATGTCTCCTCTTCGGCTGTGCCCGACCGGGCTCCATGGGCGAAAGTCCGGCCACCAGGGGCTCGCCAACATGTCCCCACTTCAGGCCTATCTCCAGAGTGGGGCCCCGATGACCCATGTCCAGGCGAGGGAACACAAGTCCATCTGTAGTAGTCATCATAGAGGTCTTTGGGCTGTGCTTTGTCTGATTCCTCACCTAGGACCTGTTTGCCTTGGGTGACCCTACCAGGGGCATGAAGCCCCTGACAACATAGCTCCTAGAATCATTGGGACACTCAAACCGCTCCACCACGATACACTGTAAAAAAAATGAAATGTTGGATTTACTTAACCATGTTATGTTACCTGGTTCCACTTAACTGAGTTGAGTAAATTCAAAGCAATATACCAGTTTTTTAGCCAAAGAACATGAGTATGTTGCTTTGAATTTACTCAACTCAGTTAAGTGGAACCAGGTAACATAACATGGTTAAGTAAATCCAACATTTCATTTTTAGAGTGTAAGGTGGCAGCCCAGGGAGAGGTATTAGTGTAATTTTTAATTAATTATTAATTATTATTAGTGTATGTAATTGTGAAATTAACATACAGTACAGACCAAAAGTTTTGACACACCTCATTCAAAAAGTTTTCTATATTTTCATGATAATGAAAATTGCAGATTCACACTGAAGGCATCAAAACTATAAATTAACACATGTGGAATTATATACTTAACAAAAAGTGTGAAACAACTGAAAATATGTCTTATATTTAAGTTCTTCAAAGTAACCACCTTTTTCTTTGATTACTGTTTCACACACTCTTGGCATTCTCTTGGTGAGCTTCAAGAGGTAGTCACCTGAAATGRTTTTCACTTCACAGGTGTGCCCTGTCAGGTTTAATAAGTGGGATTTCTGGCCTATAAATGGGGTTGGGACCATCAGTTGTGTTGTGCAGAAGGTAGATACAGTACACAGCTGATAGTCCTACTGAATAGACTGTTAGAATTTGTATTATGGCAAGACAAAAGCAGCTAAGTAAAGAAAAACGAGTGGCCACACAAGTGAACTGTCACTGAGTGGACCATGAAGTCCTCTGTAGATCAAAAGGTTCTAGATGTCAGTCCATCTGTCTGACAGTTGTGGATTGGACCAAACTGGGTCCAACTGAGCACAGCAGCTGATCTACAACAGAACGGGTCAAAAAGAAAAAAAATTAAGGTGCTGTAACGGTCCAGTCAGAGTCCAGAACCTGAATATTATGGTGGGACCTTCAGAGAGCTGAGAAAAACTGAACTGAAACAATGGAAAGAAGAGTGGGACAAAGTTCCTCCTCAACCCTGAGAGACTGATCCAGAACGACAGATTTCTGCTGCTCCAGGACATTCTACAAGCTGCTGAGTGACGGGATGTTTTCAGTTTTTTTAAACATCTAATGACATGTTTTTGTTTATCTGGGGTTGGTCTGATCGTTTAATAAAACTAGACGAATATGATGTTTACCATGACTGACCCAAGAGATACACACCTCATCCTCCGTCCTGACGTAGTCCACTCCGTCTCCTTTAGCTGGAACTTTGTAACTAATAAACACAAGACAAAACAGGTTGGTTGGCTGAGGACCAGAGTATCTGTTGATGATGTCATCCGGTTCCAGAGTCTTACTTGTTTCCCGCCTGTTTTCTGCTGGAGAAATAACCTTGTTTGTAGGCACAGCAGATCCCTGCTGTTATACACAGGAGCACTATGACCACTACCAGCACTCCCAGGATGATCCCCACGATGTTGATATCATCTGTGGAGTCAGAGCAGAGAGGTTAGACCCACACAGAGAGACAGTTAACTCTGGATTCAGCAACACTTACAGACTTCCAACTGCTGAGCTGAACACTCAGCAGATCCTGCATCGTTCTTCGCCCGGCAGAAATAATCGCCTGCATCTTCTTTTCTGACCGTGATAAACTTCTGCACAGAGACGACAACAGGATCAGCTCAGGTTAAAACATGTTTTATTACATTTCATTACATGTAGCATACAGGTAACAAGGAACCACACAGTTCCTCTGTTCTTCCTACAACAACTGAGTTATTCTTTAAAGGATATGTGACATTTATCCATTCATCCATCCATGAATCCATCCATGAATCCATCCATCCATCCATCCATCCATCTATACATCCATCTATGAATCCATTCATCCATCCATGAATCAATCCATCCATCCATCCATCCATCCATCCATCCATCTATGAATCCATCCATCCATCCATCCATCCATCTATACATCCATCTATGAATCCATTCATCCATCCATGAATCAATCCATCCATCCATCCATCCATCCATC